AGGACAAGGACCGGGAACGGAAGAGGCGAAGCAGCCGAAGCCGTGAGCGGGCACGACGGGAGAGGGAGCGCAAGGAAGAGCTGCGTGGTGGTGGAGGTGGTGGTGACATGGCGGAGCCCTCTGAGGCTGGTGATGCACCTCCCGATGATGGGCCTCCTGGGGAGCTGGGTCCAGATGGCCCTGATGGGCCAGAGGAGAAGGGCCGGGATCGTGACCGGGAGCGACGTCGGAGCCACCGGAGCGAGCGGGATCGGCGCCGGGACCGGGACCGAGACCGGGATCGCGAGCACAAGCGGGGAGAGCGGGGTAGTGAGCGGGGCAGGGATGAAGCCCGAGGAGGGGGTGGGGGTGGCCAGGACAACGGGCTGGAGGGTCTGGGCAATGATGGCCGAGACATGTACATGGAGTCCGAGGGAGGCGACGGGTATCTTGCTCCAGAGAACGGGTATTTGATGGAGGCTGCACCAGAGTGAAGAGGCCTCACCTGTTTGGACGTGTTCCTACCCACCCTGTTGCTGTCATCCTCTTCCCCCAACCTTGGCCACCATCTAAGTTTGCCATCCATGGGTAGAAGTCTTGTTTGTTCTGGTTCCTCGGATTTAAAAATAAAATTAATTTCTTGTTAATGGGCACCTTGGTTTCTTCACGTCTCTTACTGTCTTCCCCAAAAGGTTGTCACTTGACATGTTAACCCTACTTTGGTTTGTGTTCCAGCACATGCCTAGAACTTGAACTTGATGACCTAAGGCTGGGGATACCCCAGCGTATAACTGGAGCTGTTTAAAATGGGGTGAGGAAGTCCTCTGTAAAAGTCTTTCATCCCTTAGTGTGTCTCCCTCTTTTTTTTTTTTTTTTTAACCTCTTCCACACATAACCCTAGCTTGGGTGGGGGAAGTGGTGGGTCCTAAGTATTTGATTACTCAGTAGAAGCTGCAACTTTGTGTGAAAGAGAAGCTATTTTATATGAATTGGAGAGCAGGAAAAGGGTGAAGAAATGGAACGAGAGCAAGATACAAGGTGAGAAGATTTGGTGGAGCAGGAAGTCCACGCTGCCAGGATGGAAAATGGCCTTCAGTTCATGATGGTCATTTCACCGTTTGTCTTGCTACTAATGATAACAAATAAGAAACAGAAGCTTTTCACAGCAGTTGAGATTTCAACACATTTCTGGATAAAAAATTAAGATGATGGAGAGAACCTTTGTCTGGTGACCCCATGAGAGAGAAACCAGTCACTCTTACTGGGCTCGGACTCAAGGCCGCAGCTGCTGTTACTAGAAGGGCAGGAGACAAGGCGGGATTTGAGGACAGCAGTGCTTGTTTTGGCACTTGATGCATGAAGCTTGGCATTTGCTGTCCAGGAGGTACAAGCTGGGACCTACTTCGGTGTTCTGTAGGTTTTTCAGCCTACAGACAAACGGCCTGTTAGCCCAGAGGCAGGCAGCCTGTCAGCTACATCAGACTGATTCTAACTGCTTTGGTCTTTATAAACACACACCCAAAGATCACATGCATCTTTAAAATCCTGCAGCAAGACGCCACAAGATAAAAAGAAAAAATGGTCCCAGGAGAGACAACTTTGGGAATAAAAGAGAACGAAATACCTCTAATTAGTAGATTTTCATAGATGTCCCATGTGTTGCAACTAAACTTTGGGAATTGGCTATGAAGAATAGCCCATTTTGGCCGAGACCGGTTTGGCTCGGTGGATAGAGCGTCGACCTGCGGACTGAAAGGTCCCAGGTTTGATCCCAGTCAAGGGCATGTACCTTGGTTGCGGGCACATCCCCAGTGGGAGGTGTGCAGGAGGCAGCTGATTGATGTTTC